GATTGAGAATCAGGCGGGCATTCGGTGACTGGGCCCCAGAGAGAAAGGATGTGAAATGAAGCTGTGAAGATGAATGGAGAATGACTAGAGCATGTGGATCTGAATCGGCGAGGAATGAATGATCGAGAAGGCCAGCTGTGATGGTACCCTGTTTGATTGTCAAAGCCAGCTGTGAATATGTCAACGTCTATTGTCCGAATGCTGTAAGTGGATTCACCTGTGATTTGTGTATTGAGCTAACGTGTAAATAAACTCGTGAAATGTGCCGCTGGTGTTAACCGTTGTTAGACGTTGTGTGACCATGAAGAGGATTATGTCTGCTTTGATTGAGTTGTGAACCTCTAGACCTCAGAGCCAGTGTTAACTCTGCACCACAGATAGCCAGTGTGGAGGAGACACAAAAGGGCAGTCATTACAGTGAGACTGCAAACCAGTATGTACATGTTTTTTGTTTACTTCAAACAAGTGTGCCCCACTTCTTAAATCCCGCATTGATAAATATATACACATTATCATTATTCCCCGTGTGGGTTCCGGGGTCCCATTGTGGGGAAAACAAGAATAGACCCGCTGCCTCCCCAAAAGCATGTCGTAAGAGTCGACTAATTGGGGAGCCTCCTTTGAAGTCGGAGTGCATCTGCCAGAGAGGCAAGGAACCAACAGTCTGTATTCAAGAGAATTAGATCTGTAAAACTGATGCACACGCAACACTCAGGTTCTGGAGCAGGACTGCAGTTCAGTAGTGGACGAGCAACCAGAACTTTCCGCCAAAGTGTACAGCTGGTGAACGCGAAGAAGAAGAAAATGATTAATCATTATCTGTTATCTTTCTTATACTCATTGGTACAACAGTTTTGGTTGGCTTTCTTCTGTTATTCTAAAGAAGTATATAAAATTACATGACATTCCGTCTCAGGTCAGTGTTAGAATCTAGAAATATCTCAACAGGTTAGTGCATTTATTTCCAGTGACATCAGACAATATGTACATTTTTTTAACTTCAAATACATGTGTGGACCACTCCTTATATCCCACAATGATAAATGTATGCACATTATCTGTTGGCTTTTTCATATTGTCTTATATACCGCCTTTTCTTACTATTTGCTGCCCAGTTTCTATGCATTTCCTCTTGAGTCAAAATAGATTGTTATCTCATGCTCAAATTTTCATTTATTTCAGCGATACTTCAAGTCAACTTTCATCATGAGGACAAACAAGCTATTGATGATCAGCGCTCACAAAATTTGCAGTTATACTTCCCAAACGACAAGCGATTGGCCCATCTACACCTATAACACGCAAGAGGAGGGCATTAATTGCTTCAAAAACAGACGAGCAACGTGAGGTAAGACTGGAAACCATTCGAGTGCGCACTGCTGAAGCCCGTTTATCTCAATCAGACCAGCAACGGAAAGCAAGACTCGAAAACGTTCAAATGCGCACTACTTTATCCAGGCGAACACTGCATGTATATTTGAATCTTGGTGCATTCCATTACACCAGCAATTATGATTGGTCTTCATCTACTCTCGCCTATTGGCAAAATGGATAAATTGTGCGTACATTGCAGTGCCTCCAAATTTAAGAATGACATGCCGGGTATGTGCTGCGCTGGTGGAGAAGTTAAATGGCCAGTATTACATTCACCACCCGAAACATTATCATCATTGGTAGTAGGTGACACAGGCCAGTCGACACATTTCTTGGCAAACATAAGTACATTTGCAAATATGTCAACAAAGGAGGCGATATGGCAGTCTTTGGAGTGGGACATGCAGCTGCATCTATCGATGAAATCAAGCAATATCAGCTGGGGCGCTACATTAGTAGCAATGAAGCGGTATGGCGCATTTTCACATTTCCAATTCATGAATGACATCCAGCAGTTGTTCATTTGGCAGTGCACCTTGACAATAGACAGCGCGTGTACTTCATTACAGAGAATGCACATGCTCTAGCATTGTTACCACCGCCAACCACGTTAACTGATTTTTCTCATTGTGTAGAGATATGTTTTCAAAGACACTGCTTTACTCTGACCTGCCAATATACTACACATGGAATGCATCAGCTAAAAAGTTTCAACGTTGCAAGCAAGGTCAAGCGGTTGACGGACATCTTAATTTATATTCTACTGATATTTTAGGTCGTCTGTACACTGTTTATCCCAAAAATGCAGATTGCTTTTACTTGCCATTACTTTTAATCAACAAACGGGGACCGGCATCCTTCCAGGACTTGAGAACAGTTTATGGTAAAGTATGTGCTACTTACCGTGAAGGTTGTCAAGAATTAAATCTTCTTGAAAATGATGCACATTGGGACACTTCACTCGCTGATGCTTCGAATACTGCTCGACCACAGCAAATACGCACATTATTTGCAATAATATTAACAACTTGCTTCCCATTCATTCCAAAAGAGCTTTGGGAAAAATACAAAAACTACATGAGTGAAGACATCCTGGCGTGACACGAAGCATGATCAGGACCTTCAATTCATACCAAATGTATATAATGAGGCATTTGTTTGCATTGAGGACATATGTTTGACAATAACTAACAAAGCACTGGTTCAGGTGGGACTGGCTGTACAATCTGCAAACAACCTTTTCGATCGTGAGTTGCCATGAATCCGAACATCTAAGACAAATTACCAGGCGGTGTGACAACGTATAAGTCTATCGATACTGTAATGAATCAGGACGAAATTGTTAATTGTCCAACTGAGTTCTTAAATTCACTTGATTTGCAAGGCATGCCACCCCACATTTTAACCGTGAAAATTGGCGTGCCCATCATTCTTCTCTGAAACATTAATCCGCCACGTCTTTGCAATGGTACCAGGCTTTCAGTGAAAAGGCTGATGCTCAATATCATCGAAGGTACAATTTTAAATGGGAAATTTAAGGGCGAGAATATACTTTTGCCACGCATCCCAATGATTCCAACAGACATGCCATTTGACTTCAGACGCTTGCAGTTTCAGGTGCGACTCGCCTTTGCAATGACCATAAACAAATCACAGGGACAATCCCTACAAGTGTTTGGACTACGTTTGGAACATCCATGCTTTTTACATGGACAGCTATATGTGGCCTGTTCACGCGTCAGAAAACCTTCTAATTTATTTGTGTACGCGCCAGACGGAAGAACAAAGAACATTTTTTACCCAAAAGCACTTCAGTAAACACATTTTTAATGTTAAATTACCGGCACAATGATCCAATATAATTACATTTTGTTAAAGCGATTTTCCTTTCAATTCACTTTCTATTGTAGCAACGCGAGCAGGGTTGTTTACAGCAATTAGCAAATGTGCTCATTTCGTAATTATGGTGTATTTTTCCTCTTTTCATTGCTTTTCACTAGGGTAATTTTTCCAACTACTTTGATGAAGGAGAAAGTAGTATGTGAACTGTGGGATGGGTGGTTACAATAATCTGTTTACTGAGATAGATTTAAGTTACAGTAACTGCCTTACCCACTCAAAGTTTTATTAGCTGTGGTTTAGCTGTTGCACTGTACATCGCTAGCGTGAAGCGAAGACACATTTCTATGTTCTCTATTTTCCATGTAGCCAAATTACGCCACAGCAACGCGTGGCCGGTACAGCTAGTATATATATATATATATATATATATATATATATATATATATATATATATATATATATATATATATATATATAACACGCACACACACACGTACAATGTGCGTCAAAAAGAGTAAGGGAATAAAAAGTGCATTGTCAAATCATCAGACAACGAAATTGAGAATTTATAGAATTAGCAAATGATTTCATCTAATATAAACACTAAAAAGAACGATGTTAAGAGAGGTCAAAGGAATCGGACTAAGTGTCGTTCATGACATCCAGAGGCTGACATATCATAGAATAGAATGGAGGACCAGAAAAAAAGAAACATTTGTGACGTACAACTGCAAATCAGGGCGACCATGTAACAGCAAGCAAAATGGAGGGGCAAGAGGCAGGGAAAGCTTACGGAAGAAGATGATCGGAATACCGACCGCAGGATTCGCTGGCTGTTGTCTGGTATTACTAGACAATGTTTTGTCCAGAAGGTTTACTGTTGCCGGTGTGGTGCTCATACCTGCGTCAGCAATAGAAAGCACAAAACGCAAAACTGTCTACGCCAGTTTGCCCACAGCCAACTTTGAATATCGCACATTTATTAAAAATTGATTTTACCATGCAGAAGAGCGCGCCCTGGCTCAGATACCTATCTCCTGTTAAACTACCATGCCCAGAGGCGTGACGCAGCTACTAACACAAGCAGAAGGAAGTATAACTACTTTCATAATCCTTAAACCGCATGCAAAACTGCGATCAGTACCATGAGATTGTGACTTAAAATATGTGTCGTTTAATGTCAAGAAAAGGATTTTAGCATAACATCTTTGTCGTCTTCGCGATTACCGGCTGTAAACTTGTGCGGAAAGTACTCAAGGTCGTCCACTTCTAGACTTTGGATCATGTTCTAGACCTTGAGTTTTACAGATTTGATTTTGTGTGTGCATACTGATGGTTTCTCGCGTCGCGTGCTGATTTACTCAGACCCAAAGAGAAATACCTTCGTAGTGCAGGGTTCGATCCCTGATGCGGACGATTTGTCTTACGCTGGTTTCGACACTGGTACCAAGAGCTGACCCTTTAGTAAGCAATGGCAAACTACTGAACGTAAAATTTGCCTAGAAAAACCACAACAGGCAATAAATGCTTAGGTTGGTTCTGCAACGTCCTGTAAAGGATACGCAACTAACTATTCTTTTTTTTTTTTTTTTTTTTTTTGTGGTTAGGGGGCGTTGTGCCTATTCTGCATTTTCCACCTATCCCCCTCCCCGACCCCCCACCTGCATCCACAAAAAGTGGTGTCCCACAAACCACACAGAAAAGTAACACATAATTTTAGCCTTACCTAAAATGATTGTATGGTAACATTTACTTCTGTGTATGTATGTTGACCCCATCTTCAGGTGTGAAGTACAAGGAGTCTCTCAACCTATCAGAAGAACAAAAGACGATTTTGACCCTGGTTCCACGTATGATATAGCAGCAGGTCTCCAGTTCATGAGGTATGAATGCCTTCATTTATTATACTAGTGACTTAATGTTAATGTCTACAGAAGAAAATGTTAAAATAAATATGCTCTAGTAATTTTTTTTTAATCTACAGTAGCGTTCATGTTACTTAACTGGCCGTTTTTTTTTTTTTTTAAGACCGTTGTAATAACATTACTTGAAATTTTAAAAATGAAACATTTGTAGGGGATAGTATATGTTAAAGTTATGTGTTCATGCTATGTGCAAAGTTTTCATATTATTATTTTCTTCTAGCCCTACCCGGCAGCGCGTTGCTGTGGCCAATTTTGGCTAAATGAAAAAGAATGATAATAGAAAGAAAACGTGTTAAAAATGGTTAATTTCACAATCATTGTCTGCTCAGATATAGCGATAATCTGCGTTGCCAACTCTAGAACGCGCAACATATAATATATATATTGTGTCCTTATTTTAGTGGTCTTGTAAAGTGTTTTATTAAGACTGAAAAAAATTTTCATTTGTTTATCGTATACGAAAGCTGTTTGTTATTTCTAAAAAGCGCAAAGTAAAGTTTACTACTTTACATCTAAAGAAAAACAACAAATTCGCTAAAGAAAAAAAAAACGAAAAAAAAAAGCTGAAGTAGAGTTATTAAAATATGAATATTTAGAAAATGAAAACTTTAAAATCATGTTTGAAGCTCTCTCAGTTAACAGTTTTTGTCATCAGACCCCCCTCCCTCCCCAAACCACCGACTACTCATCTCTCCCTCTTCGAAAGATGTAAAATTCATCAGCTAACAATATTATTTCAAACTGATCTTGGCATCCGCGACCACCCCGACTAAAATGGGTAACAGGCATTGTAATGAGAAGTAAATGCGGCTTGTATAATATTTACCACATCAAACATTAAGTACAAGTACTGCTACTACCAACACAACAACAACCAAAATAATGTCACTGCTGAATTCTTTACCACCTTTCTATGTCGATATAGACAGGAGGTCGTGAGCCAGAGGATTTAGCGCTGCATGGCTAGTGCTGTCGCCACCGACTGTTCAGTAAGGATGTTTAGTTGTGCCACCGACAGAAAAACTAAAGTACCTTATTAGGGGTCGAACCCGGGTCCCCCGCATGACAGCCCGACGTTGTAACTCCCCGGTCAATCACAATAACTACTACTATTATGTAACTACTACCACTGCTGCTACTATGAACAGATTAATCTTGCGGGCAAGGCCGTAACTGTGACTTTAGACTTTAAGCTCTCTCAGTTAAAACTGTCTGTCAATACCGCCATTCCCCTTTTCCAATCCACCGATTACTCCTCTCTCTCTCTCTCTCTCTCTCTCTCTCTCTCTCTCTCTCTCTCTCTCTCTCTCTCTCTCTCTCTCTCTCTCTCTCTCTCTCTCTCTCTCACATATTTACGTTTCCATACAATACAATCTTTCACTTATATTTTTAAAAAAAAGAACGCACCTATTCGAATTTGAAAGCAATCTGCCGAAGAACTTCCGGAGATTATTTATCACTAACAAACGGACATTTACAGTTTTATTTAAATAGATTAGAAAGAAATCAGATATCTACTACCGTAGACGCCGAGATTAGAACACTGATTGATCAGCACTCACGCCCAGAAGACGTCGTCATTTACGCACATTGGTCAGTGAAGCACGGGTCAAGATCAGCATGGGCATACACAGCACAATGAATGGGGAAAACAATAAAAGAGGATAGCGGCGCTCATCAGACGACTAAGTCAAGCATGACCATAGAGATAGCTGCTGCTACCAGTGCACTCGCGTGGGTAGCAGAACAAGCGGCCACACATGCGGTAATTGTTTCAGAATTTATGAAGATGCTTCAGAAAATCGCTACAGCTAGTCTCCGCTCCGAATGGTTAGAAAGCATTTTTTAGTCGCAGTTAACCTCCATCGTCTGAATCTACACACCTGGGCACGCAGGAGTGAATGGTAATGAAAGAGCTGACCAGCTGGCAAGTAATGCAAATGGGGCAAAGCATCGACTTAGCTGATATCATCACTGCCGTAACGATTAGGCTGGGAGATAAACGTGAATCTCTGAGGCTAACACGACTCCGTGACAAGTGAGAAGTTAAGCTTGGCGAAGCACGACTATGTTGTCTTAGAGGTAAAGACAGGAGATACTATAACTAACTCCTCATGGGAACAGTAAGTAGATGTACCTTGAAGTGGCTGCTGCATCGGAGGACTGAGCAAGCATAGGGATGCCCATTGTGCAAAGACGTTGATTGCGATTACATAACATAACACAGCTTGTTTGTAGATAGATTAGGAGTAAAGTCAGTCCTTGGGCAGATACTGCCATGGGGAGCAAAGTGAAACTCCCATATTCATAAAAAAAACACTGAGAATAGATGGCTAATTCTTTCTCTCGTCATTTATCTTTTGCTGACAATTCCCAAATGTTTTATTTTTGCCCAATGTTTAGGGGGTGGCTGAGCTTCCCACTCCCAACCCCTGTCTCATGTCTTTGTGGCAACGATACTAGGTCAACATTAAAGTGCCCTGGCAGTTCATTTTTTATCTGCGGCAAAGTACACATAACACAGCTGGACAAGTTACACAACGTAAACTACTGCTGCGTGCAATATTCCAAGTGGACAAAATATAGAGGTATTCTTTTACGCGGTGACCGTCCAATCCAAGAAAATAATGGTTAACTACCAATGCTGGTAAGTCAACATTTTGAGATGGTCAACTTCTGAGGTTCTACTGTGACTTCTTTGTTTCTCCCTCTGGACATTGGGCTAGTATTAACAATGACAATGAAATAAAGAATATCAGTAAATAAAATAGTAGCTGATTTCGTATCTGATCGAATATGCATGTAAACAAAGAAATACCACATACAACGCATATTGATGTAAACACTGTACTACCATGTCGATATTGCAGGATACTCTACACAATTTAACATTTGAAACTTACAGAAGCCATAACAGGACACGAATACGTTAAAATATGCAAGTGTATAAGGCACCCAATGTGGTGCATAAGTTTCCAGCGTACAGCAATGGAGGAGCAGCGCAAGCCTAAAGGTTTTAAGTTCGAATCCACACCCGAGCGATGTTTGCTTTTCAAAAATTGAAATTCGGTCAGAAGTCGACCTAGCCTAAAATATAAATCAGTCAATGTCCTGCAAAGTAGGAGTGGCAGGCGTGATGTTGGCCATACAACCTACCGAGCACTGATTGTTTTACAAATACGAGGTGTGCGCCATATGTCTGATGCCATAATGGCATCAAAAATCGTTTCCTTTTTTTTTTTTAATGTATAAAACAATGCTGATGTGTTCTTGCAGAACTTTCCTGGGCACTATTCTCCAGTTCCAGTTCTACAAGGTAGCCTGCCAGGCAGCCAACCATCAAGGGCCCTTACACAGATGTGACATATACGGCAATGCTGAGGCTGGCGAAAAACTGCGGTATGCCACTTATTAAAATTATTCAGATCAATGTTGTTAGTTTGTCATGTCATGATGTATCACCATCGCCATCTTATTGTGAAATCATACGTCACACAATCTAGTCTCTTGTTCACTTTTATCCAGTGCAATCGTTTTGATATCATTGATAGGATCTGGTCCAGTACCTGAGATCTCCCTCAGAATGGCTCGTTAGAATATTCCTCGTGGGCATTAACGTTTCAATAATCCAGTAGTTTCCCATTTCAGTACCTGTTGTGTGATTCTCTGTTGGCTTCTACTCATGGAGTGTCACAAATATTGACACCTTATACAAGTGGTTGTCTAGATATTTATTTTATTTCTTCGCCTTTCTTAAATTCGCCAAATTTTATGTCATGTTTAATTTCCGTAGGCATATTTGTTTTCAACTGGATTAAACTCTCCTTCTATGTCTGTAAGGGTACTACAACTTCCACCGGTTTATATTACAAATAGATTACACTACAATTAAATTACAGAAACGTAACTTGGATTGAACACTATATAATTTAGATTTATAATGTATGATTTGTATGCTCGAATAAACAGAATAACATATTTTTCATCTGCTCAACTCTCACCCTTAACCGTTAGCGCTCAGATCTTCAACGAATTATACAGCAGGTCATACAGTTAATAAAAAGAACAACAGATACAAGATTTGACCCTCTGATAGGAATGTCCAGCAACCAGCTACTACAGGCAGCCACAATGAAAAAGTATAGTCGACTTACATGATATCCACTCGTGTAAACATTTAGGGAATAATGTAGACATTTAAATGAGCAAATATAGAAAGAGAATATTTCAAAACAAAATAATAATAAAATATAATATGCAGTCCTTGAAAGTCGATAAAAATGAAAACGTTTTTCTATTCTGTTTAAAATTCAAACCATTTAACTTATCATTTAGCAAAACAGTGAAGACTCATTTTAATTGTGGAAAGTTGATGAGAGGCACATAGGAACGCAAATGTGAAGCTTTAGAAAAATAGACAGAAAAAGCAACTGCCATACGGGAATAAAAGACGTATCACCCCCCCCCCCCCCCCCCCCCCCCCCGGTAGATTATGTTTTTTTTTTCATAATTTATTCGCAAACATTCAGTTACTTTTAAACATGTGATTTCTTTTCCCATCGCCAAGCATTGTAGTCATCTTGGGATTAAGGAAAAATATCACTACAGCATCCTGGACGGATTTATAAGCGTTCTAATTACCTCCACTGTGGCTTTGCATGTTCAGAATGGTCGTCTAGTTTCTTTTGTGAAATGTTTGTTTCGCTACATAATTAGCAACTCTAAATCACGTATATGTACTGGTATACGGTGACACTCTTAACGACGTTTTACACACACGCACACACAAACACACACATTATATGTTATCTTTACCATCTGCACCTCACACGTCATTGATTACATTCATCCCGTCCAGTGCCGAACCACTCTTAGTAACCACAATGCCCGCCAGACAATTTGCATGCATGTTGCATCTAACAAGACTGGACATAAATGTTCAGGCCGACGAGCAATTCCCTAAGCGCGTACTGATAGGTGTCTCCTAACGTTCATAAACGATGGAAGAATCATCGGGGTGACCCATCGACCTGAAGAAGAAGAAGAACGCGTGCTAGATGTGGCTTTAGTTTCACCTGCACTTAATCCACACTGTGATTGGTATGTACTAGGCAATCATGTAAGTGACCATCATCCCTGTGTTATTCTTTTTGAAAACAAAAAAGGACGTCAGCGCACATAGTAGGATAAATTCGAACCCTTTTAACTCACACAGGAAATTGATAATGTAATAAGCAGCTCAGGAAAATCAAACGTCGACACCGTGTTGGCCGAAGGAAAGAGCTGCAACAACTACTGTGGTGGAATGATTAGGTGAAGACAGCGTGGATACTTAAAAGACATGCTGTAAAGATCCTACAAAAAGCAATGAAATCCACTGATTCTACTCCAGACCTTCTGCGGGAACACAAACAGACCATGCAGATCACGTTAGCAGCCTTTAGAGCAGTTGCCCAGAAAACCAGACACAAATTGTGAAATCTATTTCCATGAAGTGTGCAAGAAAAAAGTCTCTTGCACAAGTGTGGTCTATACACCAGGCTATGTCATGTGCTCCCAGAAGCCGAGGCATTAGAGACTTCCATAATGAAGATCAAACATGGAACAGCTCTGATGTAGACAAAGAAAGAGCACTCCTTCACAGATACCTCAAGCAAATCTGCACGCAGGACACTGCCAGCCGTCAGACCATCATGGACATGCTCATTGCAACACGTGCCAGTTCACACGTTAAAGTCGATAAGCTACTTACAGTCGCTGAAATTAGGAACATCATCAAAATCATCAAAGAAGTCTGCCCCTGGCGCTGGTGGCATTCACTGTGAAGACAATGCCAAGCTGCCTACAACATCCATGGAGGACCTAGGTAAAGTCTACAATAGCATCATCTGTATCGGCACTATCCCAGAAAGCTGGCTGCATAGCAATTTGATTCCGCTAGAAAAGCGTGGCAACGATGCCACGAACATAAATGGCTAGAACCCTTTCGATGCAGAAAAAACATAAGATAACATAACCCTTGATCCATTAGGGTCGTGGAAGTTTATTGATGGATGTACTAGCACATAAAACCGGCAATTTGTGTGTATGTGTGTGTGTGTGTGTGTGTTTGTGATTTGCTTGATGAATAAGTGTATGACGCAGAATACACTAGGCTAAACAGTGGAAAAGATAACAGCCAGAAGAATGGCAAATTAACTTGAAATACATCAGCTGCTTCACCGACCCCCCCCCCCCCCTTTTTCCCACACACACACACACACACAAATACTTGCAGGAAATATACAACACACTTAGAATGGCGTAATACTGCCATCTTTGCACATGACATATATGACATTTTTCAAGCTTTCTTTGAAACATGTATAGTCAAAATAGATCTGGAGGATGCATACAGCAAAGTTCCCTTCCAAAAAAACTAATGTGACAGATAATGAAACTCAACTGCCCCTACATCTCATTGGATGGATATCTGCTGCACTTATCCAGAGGAACGGCGTGCTTTGGTGTGGTGGGTCGTTTTCTGAGCAGATAACAATACACACTAATTAGCCATGCGGCTCACCATTGTCTCCGTTCCTCTTAAACATTTACACAGTCAAGATCACATGAGAAAAACTGAATGACAGAGGAAGAACTCTATAGCATGCGGAGGACATCTTCGTGTACCGACAGGGCAGGGTTAGAGATGACATTGTTTCCCATCTACCTTTTTAAAAAACCAATGCCGGTGGTAAAACTCGGTAGCGCTGTAGATGCCATCAAACATGTTTGTCGCCTTACTGACATAAATTTTAGAATTAAATGGACACACATGTCTCCTGCTCCAAAAATTAACATTACAGTTCACATCAAACTTGATGGAAGCTGTAGACAGCAAGCTCCTGGCTTTGTGGACACTTTAGTCAGAACACTGATTGATGAAAACACAGATGAAGGTGCTATAAATTAAACAGACAGATCAGTTATTCGGGGCAAGCGAAGTGCACGGGCATTTATAGTAAGCTCAAGGGGGAAGGCCATCAAAGAGATGAATGGCGCCTTTGCTATTACAACCAACAGCCTTAAAATGGAAACTATGGTTGTAACAAGGGCATTAGCATGGCTTGGTTCTTAATAGTTCACTAACAAGTGCATATCTAATGACTTGATGAATATGCTTAATTAAAAAATTCCAGGCTGGTATTATTAGTCAAGAATGGACTGCAACACTTAGCATTTTACGAATGGCTGCCCTAACAGTCACTTTTGTACAGGTCATGCGAGTCTTCAGTTGAGCAAGCGTAGAGATCATCTTGTCGACACTGCTGTTTCTATAGCTGGTCCAGTACTGGACACAAGCGATCTTATTAATGCAATGCTCAGCACTTACCGTCCAAAGGGCACGACTCAGTATCCCTCTCTAGGCTGATGGACATGGGTGTGCAGAAATGAAAATTTCGTTAAGAGAACTAAACGTTTAATTAATCAACACAGAACAAGTGTCATTAGTCGTTTTACACTTGTGGAGCTATTGAGGAGGAGATTGGAGCACCTGTAGATCTGCCCGGAGTGCCGCGATGATAATCACTCATTCTAACGTTTGTGGGTTACTTTGGTGTTTGTTATTGTTTTTATGCAGTCATCCCAACTTACGTGGATCGAAATAGCTCAGCTGGGAGAGCTTTAGATGAAAGATATAAAGGTCCTGGGTCCAGTAATAATTGGCGTCCTACAATTGTGATGTTCCTCACACTTTAAAGCTGGTAGTTCGTGTCATGGGTTGCGTCAGTTGGTGGAGCAGCCAACTTGTTGCGGAGACTCCTATTGGTCGCTGCTGGAACTACGGAGCTTAAGCTTATTTGCGACGCTATTAACAGGTGGTTAGATTTTATACGGAGAGAAACGGAGCTATTTAGTAAATCTGCTGCAAAGAAACCCTCTCCTTTAAACTTTCACCATTCAAACCTTTAACCCTTCTTTTTTTCTTGCACAGATCCATGATGAAACTTGGCTCATCAGAACCCTGGTGGAAACTGATGGAGTCATTGACAGGAGAAAAAAATATCGACCCCGGACCAATGATGGAATACTTCAAGCCACTTTTCGAGTTCCTTAAAAAAAAAACGGAAAAAACGTCGGGTGGAAAGCGGCATGTAAACAATAAGATTTTCTTGACTTTTTAAAATCATTTAATACCAAACAGCTCACAGTGCGTTAACTTGTTATTAGTTCATTATATGCGTTATTTTGAACTCAGTATTACTGGTCGAGTTCCAACGTGAATCAAATATATTATCCACTTTTTTCCCGTTAACTCATGAATTGCTCGAAAGAGATCAAATTGCCCATTCATGAATCTTTTTCTTTGTCTTAATCTTTTGTTTTTCTTCTTCTTTTCTTTTTATCCTCCCTCTTCATTATTGCAAGTCTGGATGTTTATTGGAAAATAGTTACACTGTTTTTTGACATGAAGTGTCAAGGACCTGGAATCTATATTACCAAACTAGGGCTCGTTGTACCGCCCTGTGACAGACACACTAAACCAGAACACACTCAAAACACACAGCTATGGGGCACACACGTCATCTTTAATGAACAAAGAGCAATACACCCTGAAGCAACGTCCACAGTTATGGACAGTCCCTTATCCGAAACTCCCGGGCAGTGGCAGCATTTATATTTACTTATCCACCCCGAGCCATTCCCATGGATGTACCAGAGGACACGATTCCACCTTCTATAGTGCAGCGCTAACTAGGCTACGATCTTCGCCATGCGAGACTCAGTGGCACACGCAGGGTGAGTGGTTCAAGTATTAGCGGACAATGTCAACGCCAGCACACAACACAGCTAACCCCTAATATAACCCAGAGACAAGAACACCTACCTAGGCATGATACAACCCCAACACAAATGTCTTAGCATACTGCAAGCACACGAGGAACCAACAGCTAACCAACACATATGACGACAACGTTAACACAACCTATCTTTCAATTCCTAACAAAATACAATCACGTCTCTAAATGTCTTCAGCCTCACAGGTCCGTTCTAACCGCTCTCCTTCTTCTCCCCGTTCAGCTTCAGGTCAAACGTGTACGTTGCACCAGTGTTCAAGCCATCTCGGGTTTTCCCCATATCGTCAAATCAACTGGCTGACCGCTGGTGCACTTTTTGGTCCGTCAAACACAAACATGAAGTTACACGTCGTATTGTCTATACTCTGTCCCACAGGGCTATGACATGAAGCCAGTATGATTTAAAAAAAAAAAAGAGAGAAATACGTTATTTACAAACTGCTAAAAAATGTGATTTTTTTTTTTTAAACAAAGCAACTCTGCAGAGGTTATATAGTTAGCTTATACATAATAATAAAAGAGCAGCCCAGGCAGTCAAATTACTCATAATAATAGAGGAAAGAATAGAATAACTCCAGACTAAATTAGATCTGTCAACTTTCAAAAGGCTTCTGACAGCATTAAAAAAGGAACCATTTTGTAAAAGCACAAGACACTAGGAGTCGCAGTGGGTAGTAGCTAGACGCTCGCCTGCGGATGAGAAGGTCGTGGGTTCGCTCCCTAGCGGGGACAGACTTTTTTATAAATGTTTTTGTCTCCCAGGTCCACCCAGCCTAGAGTGAGTACCAGGTGCAGTCCTGGGAGTTTAAGATGGCCGGCGTGATGCTGAAAACATTACCCATCGTGTGCAGTTGGTCTACAATATATAGGTCTAGGTCTATGTGCTAGCGGGAAGAAAAAAAAGAAAAAAAAAAACACGTGGAAGTAGGAAAAATGATGAAATTGTGATTAGGACAAAAAGTAATAGTTCCCTGCTGAGAAGAAAAAAAAAACAGGAAAGTAAAGAAAAAGAAATATGTTCTTCTATGCATGGACAATGAAATCAAATGTTCTTGGCCCAGACAAAGGATATATGTATGGTGAGTTACGTAACAACAGCCTAACAACAGGACTACATTCACCTAGACGAACCACGTGCACAGACTACAGATTCTAAACTGAATCAGGCGAATGAATTATAATCTTCAATTTAAACAGCTGTTTTTTTTTTTTTTTTTTTTACTGAACTGAAGAAAAAAAGACTAAGCATTGTTCACTAATAACAAAACATTAACATTCATCAAGTTGCCGGGCACTTAACTAATAAAATGAACTATCTCCTAGCGATGATACACACTGACATATCTGTAAAGAGTTTAATTTCCAGAAACAAATTCAGATTTAATTATGGAAGCATATCACCGCCATGAAATCAGCCAGACAACCGATCATCCCTGTAATTGCCAGTACAAAAGTTGTTTAGACTAATGTGCAAAGACACAACAGCTGGGTAAGTCTCATGCCCTGAGCGAATGCGGCGTCGGAACCACGGAGGCCAGAATAAAACTGTTCTCTCTGGGCGTCGCTGTTTCAAAGACATGTGGCTTCCTGAGTAACCAGGTTCTGTGCAAGTCGAGGTGAACAGCGGTCTTTGTCATCCTGCCAAACCTACATACCCAACATGCCTGAAAGGCGTGGAAAAGAGTCCTTACAAGACACTTTGAGATCTCACAGAAAAATATTACCCCTCCCACCCCCCCCCTCCCCCGAACCCCCAAAAATGAGTAAACACACTGTGACATTCCATTGTAGGATATATAAGGAGGATGCCATGGATGGAGCTGTATGGTAGGGAAAATCAGGAAAGTATCACAGATAAGATAATTAAAGAAGTAACTGCAGATAGAGTGAGAGATGTGCATCTGAGAAGACGCACGGTAAATATATGTAATGCAACAAAGGTCCTGAAATCCCATATTCTAATTGCCGAAGACTATACTTAATCCTTGTGGGTCTTGCCAGTCAAATTCGCCAGTGCCTTTGTAAATTCCCCTCCTCCCCCACGCACCATGGAGTTGGTTGGAATAGTGGGAGGGGGGAGAAAAAAAGGTGGGGGGACATGGTGTGTAACAGTGAAGCTATTTCTCCATTTCATTATTATTGCAGAATATAGATTGGATTCTGGAGACAATATTGTCAGAAGTCAGAAATGGAATAAAATTCACCGGGATAGATTAGCGGGAGGTTGTGGACTTACCCACGACATTTCCCACACGAGACAGTGAGGAACTCAGATGCCAGTTAAATTAAAAATACTTAAACAATTGAAAACTAATAAGCGAAAAGACACAGATAATGTGGCCTGGCCATGGCTATTAAGTTAACCGTATGTGTCGATTCCTCCCCAATAAATATATGGTTGACACATTCAGTTTCTGGGGACAGCTTTTATCGAGTTTGCTCTCTAGACAGTTGCAGTTCCCTGGTGACGAGATTTTGTCTTTCCGAGTGGACAGCCGCGATCAAAACATTGCGAAGGCAGCGTGGTCGAGGCTACCAAAACTAACGGTCATTATCCCGCCCTGACACAGCACAACCACAATACACGCTGTTCCCACCAAAAAACACATAGTAACCTTAGTTAGTTAGTTAGTTATTTAGTTGGGTTATCCTCATTGCACTCTGGACATGTCCATAGGTGCTCAGATCCTCCCCTCAGTATAAACCCCAACGTCCGATGGCTAATAGTACATAGAACTGGCACATAGTAACCTGCGTTGGAAATGCGCACAAAAAAGCAGTCTATGATTAGGAAACAGAACTTCTTCTTCTTCTTCTTCTTCTTCTTCTTCTTCTTCTTCTTCTTCTTCTTCTTCTTCTTCTTCTTCTTCTTCTTCTTCTTCTTCACTTCCTCTTTTACCGCTGTGGGTGTCGAGGGAGATATAAGGTTCTGTTTCTAGCTCTTCTGGCTGCCTCGACCATAAGCACATCGTGCTGTTGTAGAGTTTCTCTGATGTTATCCTTCCATCTTGTTCTTGGTCTACCCCGTGCTCTACGTCCTTCTTCTCTTTCCATGTATGCTTTGTATGGTATGGTGTCACAAGGCATTCTCTCTAAGTGGGCAAACCATTTCACCTGCTGTCTTTGTATGTAATCCAGAATTGGCTCTGTGCCGACTTGTTCTCTAATGATCTCATTCCTGATCTTATCTCTTATGGTCACTCCTACAGCCCTTCTTAGACATCTCATTTCTACTACTAATTTTCTTTTATGGTTTGTTGTGAGTGACCATGTCTGGCACTGGTAGCACAGAGTTGGAATAAATATGCTTTGAATAAGATGTCTCTTTGTGCTGATTGGGATTGTCTTATGCTGTAAGAGGGGGGCTAGCTGTCCCAATACTTGTTTTTTTTTTTACTACATCTAATGTCAATTTCCTTATCCAATTTCCCATCTTTGGTAAATGTAGTTCCCAGATATTTGAATTCAGATGCCTGTTTAATGCTTTTGTATTCTATTGCTATGTTTAGATCTGTCTTCTTTTTTCCTATTGACATTACTTCTGTCTTTTCAGTGTTGATTCTCATATTATTTTTTTTACATTCTTCATTCATGGATGTTAGATGTTGTTGCAATTTCATGGCTGTATCTGCTATCAAGGCCTGGTCATCTGCAAAGAGTAATTCGTTGATCTTACTAAGATCTTCATTCATGGGCTTGGCATTCTTGCATATACTGTCGATGTAGGTGATAAACAGCAGTGGTGATAAGACACACCCCTGTCTTACTCCAGATGTCACCGTGAAAGGATGAGATGTTCCCTGATTTATTCTAACTACACTTCTACAATCCCTGTATAAACTGTTGCACAATTCGATGAGGTGTTCGCTTACCCCATATCTTGCCATTATTTTCCATAATAATTGTCTGTCGACTCTGTCAAATGCCTTCTCCTGGTCTACGAATGCCACAAATAAGTTCTTATTGTATTCAATGTTCTTTTCTATTAACTGTTTAAGTGTGAAGATTGCATCTGTGCAGCTTCTATTTCTCCTAAATCCCATCTGTTCTTCTGCCAGCTGTGGTTCTATCACTGGTCTCAGTCTTGTTTCTATTATCTTGGCATACATTTTGCCAACATGTCTTAAAAGAGAGATGCCTAGATATTGACCGCATTCTCGTTTGCTTCCTTTGTTCTTCCACAATGGTATAACTATTGCATGTTGCCAATCAATAGGGGCCGTTTGTTGTACCCATGCTGCATTGAATATTCTGTGAAGCCATCTGATGCTGCTTTCACCTGCTGCTGGAATTTTTTCTGTTGGTAATCTATCAGCTCCTGGTGC